AAACATAATCTTGCACTGATCTGAGTTGTATAAGGTTAGCCAATTGTTTGCATATTAACTTCTCTGCATTCATGGCCTGAAATTGATTCTTAAGTTTGATTTCAAACTCCTTCCAGTTACAAAATTGATCTTGAGCTCTATAGTTTTGAATTTGATATTTCTATCAAATGGTTGTCTTACTTTTCAAATAGATAGTTGTATACATATTTCTTTGAATGGTACTTGTCCTAGATAGTTAGAGGTATTGTCATACATTGAAGAATCATTGGCATATATCTTCTTGACTTGAAGTTCCAGAATGAGTTTCGAGCTTGTTTAATTTCAGCCTAATAGATGTCAACTCTTTTGTCTTAGAAGCTTCTATTTGTCCTTACTCAGTAGCAATCTGGTCTAAGAAATGTTGCACTTGAGTCTCAATTTGGGATGACTCGACCATATCTCCCATGCTACAATTTCCTTGCCAAATTTTGCAAGTGTATTGCCTTCTACCCTTCGAATTGACTTCTTAAAAGCAGCTCATGGTAGCTCTAAAATAATAACTGGTGTGACCACAACAATTGACTTCTAAGTATTCATTGGTTATTAATACACTACCAAAGAACAGACTAATACTTGCTCTAATAGTAATGAAATGGGATTAAATTCTCTTAAAGATCTAAAACCCTTTTTGTCTATAGTAATATAAATCCCATTACAAAGTAGGATAGAATGGACCAAAACACAATTGAATAAAATTAAATAGAATAGAACATGAAAGACAAAATAAAGCAAAAAGAAATAGAATACAACAAAATAGAAAATGCAAACCAAACTTTATAAAGAGAAAGAAATCAAAGCCATACCTGACTAAATGCTCCAAATGGCCTTAGGGAATCTTATTTATACTTTGTTTAATCATCTTGGAACTTTTTAGAATGTCCTTAATAATAGATTCCATTCAAATAACTGCCTTTAGTTCTTTTAGGATGTTCCATGATGGACCCCATATAGACCACCAACTTGGTCTCAATTCTTAAATTTTTTAAAGACTTCTCAAAAACAACCCCAATTATCTATTTCTATGTATCAATAATACAATTATCTTATCCATGCCTTGTTACAATACCTTTAACAATGTATAGTCTTTTTAGATTAAATTTCATCCAAATTACTTGTAATAGTTACAACCTTCTTAGATTTAGACTTATCTATCATCTATGCTACCATGTTAGTAGGATCATATTAAAAAAGAGTCTTATTGCATTTTTCAACTTCAACAATTGTTTGTGCTAACATTGTCTTGCTATCATAGTTGAGAATAATTCTTCATGTCGCTAAATCTAAAATTCTCTTGTCAATCTTAGATAAGAAAATCTTAGCAAATTGGCTCTCAGCAAAGACATTCTTTGACTCTACTACAAACCAAGTCAAACAAGAATACATGGTATATAGAATATCTTCTTTTTCACAACAAAAGTCTTGAATGCATTGCATTTGATCACACCTAAAATCTCTATATTTATGCTCTAATTTTTATAAAAATATATTTTTCACCATATTGTGAGGATCTTCTTCCATCTCATAAAATGTATCTACTCTTGGGATCCAAAGCCTCCAAGTTATATCTAATACTAAAAGAGGCTGAAAAGCCTTTTTACTATCCATCTTTGGTCCAAAGTCCTCAGTATGGTCACTATCTAAGAAGTCTACTGAAGAAGATCTATAATATTAATTCCTAGAATGCACCGTAAAAGAAACTACTTATGTACTTATAATTAATTAAAAGCTAAAAGAGTAACTTGTACTTGTAAATACCACCAAGCTTTGTAGTTCATTGACAATTACATCGAGATTACTATAAGTCTAATATATTTATGAATAAAAGGATCTTACCACCCATCAACTCAATCTTATCTCTATGGTATGCCTATCAATACAAATTAGTATAAATAAAAAATGGAATAACTAAAAAAACTCTTTGATTATAATGTTTGCAATTAGGAGAAGGTACTAAAAATAAAAACCAAAAATCTACACTAGATCTTCATCTCCAACAATACATAAGCAAGAATCAAAAGCGAACTAGAGCAACTGGTACTCACTTATGATTGATGGTGACAAATTGGAGAATATGTGAGAATAAAAGATAATTGTAACAAAATAAAATGTGGAGAATTGAAAGAAAATAAAAAATTCATTTAAAAAACAATTTATATTTAATAATTGCTACTTCAATGCTCCAAATAACCTCCACTCTAAAAATTAAGCATGTCAATGGACTTCTTAGGCCTCTTTTATATAAAATTGATAAAAACTAATCATATTTGGACTCCATATTTACTTGGAAAGAGCATCCAAATTTAGCATTTAAGAATTCTAAAAAATATATTTTATTTTATTTTATATTTTATTTTATTTTAATATCCTATAATTGTACAATGGATCTACAATTGTAGTGCCTTATCATTATAATCTTATACTACATCAAGAAAACTCTCCTACTCTAAAATGAGCTCCTTACATAAGTCCACAACACTACATTGTTTCCACATATTATGACTAAAACCTTGCTCCTTCATTTTAATGCATATTTTCATGCAACAACCCTATCAAATGCCACAATCTTACTACAACTCTATTGCTACAATCTTCTATTCTATTGTATACAACTTAAAAAGCTCTATACCGCACATATTCTTTGTAATGTACTATTCTAGTATCTTACTCTTATAATGCAATGTATTCTATCATAGTATCGCAACAGTAGGCTAACTGGTTTTGGCACCTAATTAAGCAATGCTCAAAACCTAATAACAAAAATAAATCATAAATTGGATTTTTTTTTTAAAAAAAAAGAAATCTATTCCATTTCAATATACTATACCACAATTTAAAGAAAAGAGAACATTCTTATCAAGTGAAAGATTAAAAATCTATACTAAACTAAGTCAAGATATCTTTTACATTACAAAAAGAGAATCCAAGAATGGAAGTGTGAAGATAAAAAAAACCTTAAAGCTTTACTAAATGGCTAAATCACCATAGGCAAGAAAACCCTTACAATAAGTTCTCTCACTTTTAAAATCACTCATAAGACTTGACTTGACAAGAATGTCAAGTCAAGGATTTTTTTCTACTTAAATATTCAAATTCTAGTTGACATGAACAAAGTCAATTAGCAAAAAAACTATCAATGAATGAAAAACCACTAACCAAACTAAATTACATACATTTGATGGGATTTGGCACTCAATGCCACATTATGTGACAATCTTGATTATTAAAAAATTTCTTCAATGAAGAGGTAGTAAATGAAGCTTATCTTTTGTACCATCCAACACTACATTCAAATATGTTCTATACTTTATACTACACAATTCTTAAGGTCTTATTATTAAATATGATTGTTACATATTTTCATCAATTGTATATTAATCTTTCTATCAATGACATGGCCTTTGTATTATTCTCATTTTAATTCCTAATTTATTAGTTGTTGCTTTCTTTACTTCATTTTTTTAAATTTTAATAATATTAATAATATTCCAATTATTAATTTGTATAGTTTTGTTCCAAGTATATATTCAATTACAAATTATTTACTTAAGCTTTGATATACTACTATCTAAAAGTTTCATTTAAGTTTTTCAAACATTATAAAGTCATTTAAATTTATATTTTTTTGTAAAAATAAATAAATAAATAAATAAAATAACCAAGAAAATTAAATAAAAAAATAAGAAAGAAACATAGTATGAAAGAAAAATATAAAAAAATAGTAATTTTTGAATTTGTTCGATTATTATTATTATTATTTTTTAAATAACAACTTAGCTTATCCACTTCTATAAAAGATCTCATAGATGGTAGTTTACACGTGTTTTTTTTTTTTTTTTTTTTTTTTTAAGATAGCAATAAATTTTTCTCTTTGCTAAAAAATTATTAAAGGTTCTTTTTATATAAAATTTAAGAACTATGTGGTAGTTGGAACTCCATAAAAAGTTCTACAAAATTTGATATATATATATATATATATATATATATATGTGTGTGTGTGTGTGTGTGTGTGTTTGTCTATTATTAACAATTCTTTGTTAAGTATGGACAAACAAAATTATTTCTACTTTAATATTTGAATATATATAAAAAAGAGAAATATTATGTGAAAAGGAGAAAAGATAGATATTATGGTAAACGAAATCTTAAGAAAATATGAAAAGATTTTGTTATGTAAAGTTTCACTATTATTTTATTAATTACCAAAGCTTGTTTACATACAATTATCTTAGGATTAGAAAAATAACAACTGTAGTTTTCATGGAACTTGTAAAAATCTTACAAAAATTTTAAACGAATAAGTTAAGACAAAAACTCAAGTAAAATTCACAATAACTGTTTTTTGCTAAACTTAACAATTTTCTGCTAGCACATCTAATTTTTTTCTTTTTTTTAAAAATAAACTTAAAATCCCCAAGCCCTGCCTGGAGATGGAGATATAGCTGACTTCTGGTTTAAGCATTTCGACTCCACATGGGCACAAAATAGTTCTCTATGCTCCAGATCAGGCAATGTTGTTCGATGGCAACCTAACAGAATTAGCCTCCTTGTGTCTCAACCAATCATCCCATAAACTTGGGTTGTATCATACTTTTGTCTAGTTACTAGTCCCGTCGTAGCTAGGCAGGGGTTTTTTAACTCTCAATCAGCCCGGCATGTGCTGGTTGCTCCCTGCAATGAAATTATTTCATTTGTGCCAAAAAATAAAATAAAATAAAATAAAATAGAAAAACCCAACATGGTGAATCAAAAGCCTCAGTAGATTTCAGGACAAGAGGAATCACACCATAACTAGGGATAAAAAGAGAGAAACAAGATACTCAGCGGCAGAATAGCGAAGGAAACAGCTAGTTCATGAAGCAAGAGAGTGGTGCAGAATTGAGAACTACAAAGACTCACAAAAGCAAATGCAGAATGAAGGCAAAGCAAAGCAAGGGCGAGGGAGAGCCCCGAGACAGGTAATGAGTGAGTGAGTGTGTGGGGTTTGTTAGTTGCTTGGAGGCTACTCCGGCTGCCTTCGATCGCACACTCCAGAGCTCTGTTAGGGTTTCCCGTTCGGAGCCTGGTTTGGGAGGGAGCGGAGATTGAATTGGACAATTCAGGAGCCCTAAACCCACGGTTGTGTTTTGTTTTTGTTTTTGTGTTGTTTTTCTTTTTGGTGCTCGGTTGATAGGAGCTGGGAGTAATGGCGCGATACGATAGAGCAATTACTGTGTTCTCGCCTGATGGTCATCTCTTCCAGGTAGAGTATGCTTTGGAAGCTGTGAGAAAGGGAAATGCAGCAGTCGGGGTGCGAGGCACTGACACCATTGTGTTGGGCGTGGAGAAGAAATCCACTACTAAGTTGCAAGATGCCCGGTATTGCTCTTCTTCTATCCTGCTGCAGTTGTTATTGATGCTTGTGAATGCCTTGGTGCGTTTAGGTGATCAATCTTAGGTGTGAAGGGTGCATTTAGGTTGTAATGTGTCGCTTCTGAGTGCTCAATTTTGGCTCAGGATTGTTGTGAATATTTTGGATTTCGCACTATCGTGATCTGAGTCAGTAGAATTCTAGGCGCCTGGATTATGAAGTGGGTCATATTCATTTATTGGTATTGACAAGATTTTTGGTTGCCGGGAGGTGGTGGTAGTACTGATACTTTCGTGACTTCTTTTTTGTTCGTTTAGGACTTTGGAAAATTCGCGCGGGTGCTGTACACCGAAGAAGTGTGGATTTCGTGAGATTGGTATTCTACAATAACTTGCGGTCTTTGCAATCGTCAGCCGAGAAGTCAAACGCGGAATTTCAATCGAGCAATCTAACTTACAAGATTCTTCTCTCTTTTCAGCACCGTGTGGAAGATCTTGAGATTAGATGAGCATGTATCGCTCGCCTTTGCAGGCCTCACTGCCGATGCTCGCGTCCTCGTCAACCGTGCTCGAATTGAGTGTCAAAGCCATCGTCTGACAGTAGAAGATCCTGTGACTGTCGAATACATCACCTGCTTCATCGCTGGATTACAGCAAAAGTACACTCAAAGTGGCGGAGTGCGTCCCTTTGGCATTTCCACACTGATCGCGGGGTTTGATCCTTGCACGGGCGTACCTGCCCTCTACCAAACCGATCCCTCTGGAACCTTCTCAGCTTGGAAAGCCAATGCTACGGGCCATAACTCAAATTCTGTCCGTGAGTTTCTGGAAAAGAATCACACCGAGACATCAGGCGCTGAGACTGTCAAACTAGCCGTCCGAGCGCTTCTTGAGGTAAATAATAGCCCAAATAACTTTCTCTCTTCCTCGCTTGAGTGGAATCTGTGAACAAAGTTGGGTCGCAGGGAGACTTTGTGAATAAACGTTTTTTTAGGGTTTCCCTGTTCATGGTTCCTGGAGGAGTTGGTTTCAAGGTTTTGTAATTTTGGTTCGCAACATGAAGCTTGGTTCCAGGGTGTGTCTGACAAACTTTTTGGGAGTTTCGTAGTGGGGAAATTTGGGAGTCAAGCTGGAGGTTGCTGCTGGGTACGCATTAGAATATGAGACGCATGGAGACACGTTAATGTTTTTGAATTGAAGTTTGTTGTTACGAAGCTAAGGGTTTGTGGTTTGGTGTTGTGTGGCAGGTGGTAGAGAGCGGTGGTAAAAACATCGAAATAGCAGTAATGACCAAGAACAAGGGCTTGCGTTTGCTAGATGAAGCAGAGGTTGAGGAGATTGTGGCTGGTATAGAAGCTGAGAAGATTGCTGCTGAAGCAGCTAAGAAGGGCCCTCCTCGTGATCAGTAGGCTACAGGTTATATTGCTCATAGAGAGGCTTATTTTCCGAGAGCGTCGTCCAGGTTAAAGCTTACTTTTAGAATCATTTCAGTTGGTCGATGAAGTCCACCCCAGTTTATGTAAAATGCAAGTTCTGACTTACACTCAAGTGTATGTGACGTGCTCCACACAAATCATGACGTCAATATTTGTAACCTTTCATTTGGGACGAACGCCTTGTACACTACTTTATGATACAGATGGCACTGAAGCCAATATAATTTCGAGTCTCCTACTCAATAAACATGAATTCCAACACGCTCGCTTGCAGCGTTGAAGATGATCGACCTCAGTCATGTATGTGCCGTGTCTTATAAATAGCTGTAGTGACTTAAGCTTCAGTCTGAAAAATTTTGCGCAAAGCCTTTAGGTGGAGGCAGCTGACACATTCCGTTCGGTTTTCATTTTGATTTGTGGGATCTCAGAAGGCCTCTGTCGAGTTCTAAGCTTCTTGCAAGTTCAGAAGTATGGTACAGACTTGGACAGCCTCTCCAACCGTCACGAACATCCATTCACTCCCCAATCGTGAAATGAAGTTCGAGGCATCAAGCTTCCTCATGATAGATGTTCCCGGATTCGCGATTGTCAACTGAGAAAAGAGTCGTTTCTGTCAGAAAGCTAGACGGTCTGGAGGTTGTGTTGATAGTTGCTAACGTGATAATTGATTTTGTAGGCAAACAAGTAAAAGGATGATGCAGATTACCTGTATTTGTTGCCTTTTCACCGCCTTCTCTATCATCTCAAATGCCTGGACGCCGCTGCTATCTATGTTTGTGACGGCTGCAGAGTACCAGCAAATAAGTTACTTGGTGATTGGATCTGAGGAAGTAGATATCGCCAATGATTTTCGAAACGATTGTAATGGTGTGCATGGTAAGGTTTATGTAGGAGTCATCAGTCTTAAGAGTGAGGATCGTACGAGTCAGATCGATGACGAGGTAGCGAACTTTGGGGCCATTGATTTTTTCGACTCTTAGCTTTTCAGCTTCAAGGTATGCCAAAACTTTATCATGTATATATGACGCGTTGGAGAAGTAAACGGGGCCATCAATACGGACGGCAAGGATCCCTGGCACCTGAGTGGCTTGGAGGTATTGCGCTACATTTCGGTAAACGGTGGTTCCTGGGATGTTGCCTAGGATGGCCGTATGCGGCCTTGTTACATGGAACAGAATCTTGACGAAGGAAATGCATACCTGTGACCATCAATTAAACCAAGATCTAGAAATGAGAATCGTAATACGAAGCATTTCGTGAAGAGCTGAATACAGGACAGTGGAGTGTGTGCCAAAAACTTACAGCGACAAGGAGACCGATCTCAACGGAGACGAATAAAGTACCAAAAAAGGCCCCCATGCAAGCAAGGAAATCGCCTTTGTCAATTTTCCAAATAAGCCACGCTGCGTTCACATCAACCACCGAAAGGACAGCTGTAATGATCACAGAAGCAAGAATACAGTTTGGAGTATAATAGACGAGTGGAGTGAGCGCAGTCAGAGTGATCGCCACTACGCTGGCCATCACTATGTTCGCCATGGGTGTGAGGGCACCGGCAGCGTAGTTTATAGATGATCTTGAAAAGGATCCTGCATCACGATTTGACGAAGTATTTTAATAAAAAGTGAGTCAAATACTAGACCTTGGCAAAGTTAACTTGGACTATACTGTCTTGCTCTTGAAAGCATTACCCACAGGAGTCGGCGACGCAAGTCCAAGTTCTAAAACACATGAGATAGCAAATAGGCAACGAAAGTTGTGAGAGTACCAGTTGTAACATAGCAAGAGGAGAATGAGCCGCAAATGTTCATAAAACCAAATGATATCATTTCCTTGTTGCCGTCCACGCGGTAATCACGCAAGGTCGCAAATGTGCGTCCAATTGCAAGGCCCTCTGTGAGTGCTACGAGACCACATACCAAGCCGATTTTTATCGCCCGTGCCGTGAATTTTCCGGAGAAAAATATTCGGTGAAATGAGGAGGGATTCAGTCCCTTTTTCACGTGACCCACCTGCAATAAAATAAAAGTGAGAACTTAGGAACTGCCTCAGACATTTTTAAAAGAGATCAAAACACACTGTCGAGGTTGCTATCAAAGTTGCGAACTTATCACGTGATACTGGTATGCTCCCTACCACTACTACCCTTGATGTGTGTATATGTCTCTGAATTGCTGGTTTCTACTTCAAAAATCCATACTTGCTGTATTCCCTTCCCTTTTCTTGGATTGTCCCAATTACCCATCCTTCCCATTCACTGTCTATTGTCAGGATGAGTTGTGCTAGCCGTACACCTATTTGAGAAATGTTTTCAAAAATAGCGAACAAGGGCTCAATAATATGATAAACTGGCATGATTAACTTACTATATGAACACCGTGTTTATCCGCTCTTGTGAGGTAAACTGCTGCAGTTGCAACTACCACGGATGTCAGAGGAGCAATTGCAGCTATCCAGAAGAGTTTCGGTTTTTTCTTGGCCTGTAAGACGCGCGGTGTATCAGAATTAGTTACATTACTGAACTTTTTAAGGAAAAGAGCAGAATTTATCTTAATGTCAAGATTGGAGGTATGATTGGCATTCGGGACTAAATTATTGCTGAATATACATCATGTGAATTACTGACCAGGATTTTTGCACTGAATAAGAACGCAATAAATAAGAGGCCCATGACGATCGTCCGCCAGTTCCACTGCAGGGCAAAGTGCAAGCATAGCCGGAATTCAGAAGTCCAGTATGATCAACGTGTTTCAGGCATTTTGAGGTCCCATCTTAATTGTTGATAGTGCCAAGGGAAATAAGTCATCAAGGAATTACCTCATCTATATGACCAAATACTGATCTCATGACAGAGACGAAGTCGGAGTGTCTGGTGAAATGCTGAAACAAGTTGAACAGACCTTTCAGCTGCTGCAAGGCAATCGTGATAGCTGCACCACCCATAAATCCTATAATGGTCGCATGCGACAAAAACTCGGTGATGAACCCCAATCTATACAAAGCAACCGTGGGTGAGGAATGGAACTAGGAAATGTCGAGTAAAACCCGGTCCATCTTTAGCATGATTCAGACGCCAATATTCATTAGGAAACTTTTGGTACATGAAAGGACAGGAGATGTACCGGAGGATGCCCAAGCCTGCCTGAAAAATGCCAGCAAAGAATGTGGCAGTAAAGGCAAGCTGCAGATACTCTGCGGCATCCTCGGTCGGGCTCAGCTCTTGTTTCAGCAATTCTCCCAGCAAGAGTGACACCACAGCTACTGGGCCAATAGCTATGTTACGCGATGTTCCAAGCACGGCATAAACCAGGGGAGGTACAAAACTTGAATCTGAGAAGTAAGAAATATAAATGCGCAATATAAGTTGTACTAGCTTCGAAAAGCAGACCAATCCCTTCCAGAAGTAACTTCAATTTCTTGTGATGTCTTTTAAGATCCTGAAGGTGCTGAATACAATCATGGATGAATTGACAGAAGTTAACTTACACAACCCATATACAGGCGGGATCCCTGTAAGCGACGCGTATCCAAGATCCTGCAATATATTTGAAACAAACACAGTGAGCAGTCTATTTGTACGTAAGGTAAGGAAGGCCCTACCTGTTCATGGTATCTAGACCAAAGAAGCACTAAAAAACAATCAGACGTGAGGAACCTTACTAACGTCACGCGCATCAATACGCGAAAACAACAAGACTCTTGTTGTATCCATTCGTTGCAAAGCTACTGTGCAGGTTTATCTCCAACCAAAATTACAATAGCTTACCTGAAATTACTTAGCAGATATACAAACAAAAATTAGAAATGTGAGAAATGCCGGTACCTGAGGAACGGCAAGGCTCGCAATGGTAAGCCCAGCCAGAAAGTCTTTGAAGAACATTTTGAGCGAGTAAGTGGACAGCCAGTCCAAAATGGGGAATAAAAATTTGAGACTCTGAAGGACCTGTTGACCTCGACTTAGGCCCTTGAACCCTTGAATAGGAGGATCATGGAAGAACGTCTCCCGCACTCCGCTCCCAACTTCCTTCAGGAAACTTCTTTTCGGTGGCATCTCCACCTTGTGCACCAGCGGCTTTCCTTCAGTCGAGCCATTCCGTCCGTTCCCAATATCGACTGTTGTCATGGTGATCTTCTCCTTCAGCTATGAGAAGATTGACATTACCCCAGTAAAGCACGAATAAGCTCCAATGGGTCCCAATTTGCGCAATCTCAACGACGGGAACGGAGTTCCTTGTGTTGTACCTTGCTGGCTGCATTGCCATAATTGTGTTAGTACACAGAAATCATTTCTATTTCTTTTTTCTCACTACGATACGACTAGAACATGAGAGATCATCGTCAATGGGTAGTTAGCAGTACTCAACGGACAGTATGTCCTGAGGAGACGGACTCCTTCAAGGGACTACAGCAAACAGAGCTAAGTCCTTCTAAAATGATAACACTGCAACTTTCACAGTCATTAATGGCGAAAACAGGGATGAATGAAGTTGCACTCTCAGATTCATCAGTACAATGGAAAATTCTAAATAAACGTGATTCGGTGCTTAGATGATCGGGACTTGCCAAATCTTCTCTCTATACAATCGAAGCAATTTTTTTGGAATGTAGCTTCAAAATCAAGGTGTCTTCAAACGAATAATCATTCTCGGCATAACGATAACGATTTCCTGAACACAGCTAAGCCTCAGACTATGCGCAGAAGCTTGACACAGAGCAGGCATGCAGACAAATTTGTTAGCACAAGGGGTTGATCTAAACATCGTTGTTCTAACCTACTCACGAATTAAGCAACAGATAACTCCACGTGGGTGAGTTGTCAAGCCCGAAGAGACCCAATAGCTTGGATTACATCCATAGATGTGGATATTTAAGGAAGCACTTGAATCACTTCGTCTTTAATAGCTGCAGCCTTGAATGTAGCGGAGAATGTTCAGATTCATGAACTAATGACGTGGCCTCTCGTAAGACTACGGTATTCACAGAGGGGAACGACTGTCCTGCTGTTTACAACATGGACTCAGTGAAATTGAACTCTTCGTGAAGATGCGGAGTACCAACAGCTAGACGGTAAGACCCCCTGCTCCTTTACTATACCATTGCAGTGACAACCTTGTTTGAATGTATAGTTTTACATCAGGCACAGTTAGCAAGTGAAAGATTGCCACTGCAGTTCAGACTTGGTCAAATAATCAGATCGAAAAAAAGCGATGCTCATTGCACTCCCATTGAGTGTAATCTCTTTAAGACATTGATCCTGCAGTACAACGACGCCGTTTCTTTACCGGCATGCGAAATTTAATCTTCTAAGTGCCATTTAGGTCAACAACTACAACTAGGTGAAGAATCCATACCTAGGTGCATCCGCATCACTCAAGCAGTGCGATCAAGGACGGAGTGCCGTAAATTTGAGAATATTCACATGATGTACTGTGATAATCCCGTAGAATGTTCCTTTCAAGATTCATGCCAATGCTGTACTTCGTCCAGCACCAGCTTTTCAACTTTATGGGCCCATTGTTGCCTCTCTGCTCTGCACTGGCAGCCAAAAGGACAAGTAATCACCTCTGTCAGTCAGAACAATGTATGCTTCCAATCCTCAAAGGGCACTTTCATATTAAATGCATTCGCCACCTTTATTGTGTCTGGACACGTTCTTGCAAGATCATAATACATAGTCCTATGATGAGATTCGACAAGAAGAAACGTTCAATGAGCTCGAAACATCATTGAAGTCTCACTTTTTTCCGACAAAACCAACACAAGTCGATTCGCGATTCTTAATTCATATCAGATTCACCTCACATGTTTGTAAACCTCAGTCGTGAGTATTCCGAAAATTAACATTAGTCGACTATGAAAGCTGAGATGGAAGAACGGCTTCAGATTGAGATTTGCGTCTTTCAGTTCAATTTACCGTTTCTAATAGCGAGCACTGTTCCCACCAATATAGCCTGTTTTTCAGGAGGTCCGAGGAACTAAACATCCAAGTTTTTTCTCGAAGTCACTGACTGGAATGGCATGGCTAGTGCCTGCAAGTTTGCAGTGAGATGTACAATCTTAGCTGAGCATCTTGCAATATTTGACAATGGTGTAACAGTTCGACGAAAGTGAGGTCACCTACATCCCAAAGCAAAGTTGGAAGTACGAGTAGGTCGTCCATACGTGAATGCAACCTCAGAGGTGTCGACTGCATTATGCATTTAAGGCCACTAGTTTTTGAATTGGCCCCGTCAATGTCTGTTTCCTATGAAGGCCAGACAGAATCAAGGTCCACTTTGACTGCTGAAGCTTAACAGCTTTTCTGGATGTTAGCTTACTGGTTTTCCTCATGAACACACGTGGCTGTCAGGTAGCAATTCTTCATAATTTGTCAAAGTCATATAGAAGACGTGGAGGCAGCTCAGTCCGTTTAGTCATCATCCTTTTCAGCACTTGAACTGCGACAGCGGATTACGACAGTGATCAAAACTTCACAGCTTCTGCTATACTGCATCCCTCTGTAGATTCTCATGAGATACATCACATTGAAGGCACTTTTAGTATCATGCTTTTATCTAAGAGCTAGCCGGATAGATACATCTGCAGATTCGGCTCTAGCAATTTCCAAGATTCACATCCCCGTCACGGCATCGCATGGCTTTGAGTCACATAGTGCACTACATCCAACACACGCAAACGAGCCCTCAGTTCATTACAAGTAGAAAAGTCAAGAATAAAAAAAATTCTTCAACTCACGTCATCAGAAAAAAATTTGCGGAAGAAAGTACCATTGTCGTTTGAGACCTCGTGCAAAGGACTACAATGCTTGCGAAAGAGTGAGGCCATAAGGACAGCCTATCGCAGTAAGTCATAGCAGGACTGATGATGTGACCTAATTTTAATCACGCACAAATCCTGTGCAATAGAGTTTGCAAATGACCAGAAAGGCACCGAGGCCGTGCATCTCCTTCTGCTAAAGTCGAAATTTAAGCATAAACCAAGAGTCACGAGGCTGTTCTCAAACCTGCCAATTCCCTCACGATTCTTTCCTCTCCCTTCAATACGACCGTACATGTAGCATAACGGACCATACTGTGCACTATAACTTCCGCTTTTGTCAGAACGTCTTGCGAAGAAGACACGGCGGAGTGCCATTCTCGCACCATCCGAGCACGACGTCTTGACTGGAGTTGACATTCCTCTTCGACAGTGTTCGGAATTCTACCATAGTCTTCAATCGAGGATGCCGAAGCACCGTGCGAAGATTGATATCCGAAGAAAACGCTCACCCCTTTCTTGGGTAAGGGTATACACTTTGAAAAACCGATGTACGGGTATAATCTGGTGAAATGGTTAACGAACGTACCTGTTCTGATGATGGATGTATAATTACTTCATTCTCAGGAAGTAGTTAGGTTCTACCTTGTGAGGCAACAAGTTCGGGTGCAAATACTATTGATTATCCATTTATTATCAAACTGTAAAATATATCTATTATATAGTGCAGCATAGGTTTAAGATGAAGAGACAAAAATCGATTCTGATCGGCTGTTGAGAGGAAATCTGAGAACTCGAGGAACAAGATCTGAGTTGTTAGGGTTTTGAGAATTCCTAGTAACCGCTTGCCCTTGGTTGTACTGTGCCGTTGTACGATAGTGCTCCTTCATAGGGGCTCGCAGCATTTGTTTCTACAATCTGGAATTGCTCTCCGTGGCTCTTCTGTTCGTCAGGAGCTTCTGTAAGTGATAGGTATAAGATAAAGGGATAATATAATTGTGTTGCGGTGTTGTCTGTGCACATTTTTAAAGTTTGCAATGTGCTTGATAAATGATACTAATTTCATGTATTGCTCGGGCCGAACTTTCAGGTGGCACACGTTCGGGAGATCGTTTGTGGCCAGTCCGATGCGATGAGCGTTGCATCCTTTCATCCCTTCTTCGACGTCGTTGCATGCTTGCTGTATGGTGTTGCTTCGACGGCTTTGTTGACTTGCTTTAGGGTGCGAAGCGAATCGAAAGGGCTCGATATGTGAGGTCGCAACTCTTGCGACACGCTTGTGTATGTGCGTCAAAGCATTATTCACTTTTGTATGTTAACGTCAGGTTTCTGAGTTGGTATGCAGTGATGTTAAAAATAGCGTCAAACTTCACTCTGTTACGATAACCAATGTTGTAGAGTATGAATGTTGCTTCACTGTTACGAACCTCTACCTTCTGGTGATACCTAAGACTGGGAGCTGCAGTGCGTGTCGACGCCGAACTCTGGTAGCGTGTGTTTTTCTCTTTTGTATTCAACAGTGTTGATCATTTTGTTTAAAAATCCATGGTACGGAATTGTTAAGGAAGCCTTCTCGGCTTTGGCTTTGCTACATGGAGCCTAACATATGCTGTTTTTGTTTTTTTTTGTGGAAAGGTAGATCTTCCTCTTCTTGAAAATCCCACATCATTAATTAGACAACTACTTGATGGAAAAGATGAATAAAGCAAGGAGTTTCGGAAGATTATTCAACAATTTAATTTTGCACATGCATTTACATCTTTTGTATTGCAAGAACATGGTCCGTATGGCTTTTGCATATATGGAGAGCTCCCGCATCAAATCAAATGGGCACTTTCTTACCAAATCAAGGTATAGAAGCAAGTTATATGCAACTTTACATTTACAATCTTGATATTGCACATGAAGTAAGGATGGCATGTATTTGAAATTTATCAGTTCAAACAATATCAGAGTTTCAAGAATTTTAACGAGAACATCATGTGTTTGTTCTACTTTGTTGATATTTAGGGAATATTTAGCTCATGAAATATTCCCTAAAGCTAGAGAAAGAAGAAAAAAAGAGAAAGAAGTCATAATATATGCATACATCTTCACTTTAGTACAAATTTCTACAAAAGATATTATAATCATCCAACTTCTAATAAAGTTCTTGTTTTGTCACACAATGGAATAAAAAAAGAAAGGATAAAAGATATAATTGTTTGATAATGAAGAGGTGTATTGCAACAAATTCATAAAAGTCATCTTACATACTTGCCACTCTATTATGTTATTTTTTTCTCTAATGAGAACATAAATGACATGACCAAATGTGACGTAGAAATATGAATGCCAATGAAGATGGAAGTGATAATATGTGAATTACACATGTTATTCAAATAGAGTTTTTTACGTATCAATAGTTTCTACAATATAATGAATACTCAACTATCTTACAAGGTAGAAAGTTGTTACAAGAATTTATTGTGGATATATAGGCAATATTAGAGAAAAATCACTTGAAATATTTGAATATGAATCAAGATAGATTGTATATAAATATATATTAAGGATTAATAGATATTATTGGAGATGTATAAAACCAAGTTATCATGCAAAATTCAAAATAGAGGATAATTCTTTCATCATCTCATATTAAAAATACAAAAAACTTGTTTGATACTTTCAACATCCAAATATATTTGATACAATAATAAAAAAATTGTTGTAGCTAAAGATCTCAAATGCATTTCTTCTAGGATAATGTATCAAAAATCATCTTGACTTAGAAGCAAGAGAATTTGAATTGAAGCATCATGCATTAATTGAAGGTATTTATCAACATTACATTTTAGGACATGCACTTGTAAGAGTGTATATTATTGAGTTTTAAAAGTGAAATCTTCTATTTATATACTTCTTATTTTTTTTTGATCAAAATAGTATAATAAGAGATTAGGCCAATGTTGATAAGATTGTTTCTTTAGAATTTCTTATTAAAGAAGCTTGATTATTATGAGATAATTATCACTTGCATGGTTTATAGTCCATGTGAACCTCAAAATATACAAATTTCATGTATGAAGGATAAAATATGCTAAAAGAAATATCTAGAAGATTATCAAGAAATAATATTAATAGATGGTTATGAATATCCTCAATATAATAGAAAAAATAATAGAAAGACTTTCAATGTTGACAATCATAATGTAGAAAATCAAGATATTGTTCCATACGATCTTATTTTTACTAGAAAGTATAACTACCAAATCAACATTGAAGTTTGTGCTTCTGTTCATGTTGTGAAATGTATTCATAAGTATATTTATAAAGGGCATGATTGTACAACAATGCAAATTAGAAATGAGCAAGATAAAATTAAAGAATATATTGATACTCAATATATTGAAGCTCTTAAGGTAATATGGTGTTTGTTTGGAATGAAAATGCATGAAGAAGTTCTAAATGTGATTCAATTGATATTATATCTTTTTAGAATGCATCAAGTAATTTTTGATCCAAATAATGATGTAATTGAAATCATAGCACTTAGAAAGTAGCAAAAATCAACTTTGACGACATTTTTTGAAATAAGTGAATTTATAGTGATTACTTGGCAATATAAATATCAAGAGTTTTTACAATATTTTGTATGAAAGAAGACTTGAAAGACATGGATATTAAAATAATGTGGATTTACTATTGGAAAATTATATTTTGTTGATCCTATTATGAGAGAAAGATTTTATCTTTGACTTCTTTTAATAGTGGTGCATGGAATACATTTATTTGAAGATCTACATATTATAAATACAGTGCTTCAATCAAATTATAACAGAGCATGCTTACAAATGGAATTATTAGTAGATGACTAAGAATAGAATCAATGCTTAAAAGAAGCTTTCATAATGAAAATAGAAAAGCAATTAAGAGCATTATTTACTATTATTCTTCTTCAATGTTCACTTCTATATCCATAAGAGCCATAGAAAAAATATAAAGAAATTTGTTGTGATGATATAGCTTATCAATTCACTCAAAATTATAGAATTAAAAAGCCAATGCAAAAAGATATATTAGATTATAGACTATTTTCTTTTTATGAGATTCTTCAAGAATCAAACAACAGACTTGTTGATTTTTATTGATGCCTTTGTTGAAAAGAAATTAGAATAAAAATACTACAAATATTTATAGAGCATATGATATAGAAGCATGATAAATTAAAAAAACGATAGAGGAATGTGTTCTAAAGTTATATGATGAACAATGCACCATGTATTTTGGTATCTTTACTTTAATAGATAATAATCTTGAAAAGATGTATTTTTTGGAAGAACCAACAAGAAGTAAAAAAACATTTATTTACAATATAACAACAATAAAGTTTTGAAGTGGTAAAAAAATTATTTTTTATATTACTTCTTCAAGAATTAGAGTAAAACTTTTAAATGGTAGATGAACTATACATTCTATATTTAAAATTCTACTCAATCTTCATAAAGATATTTTTTGTAATATTTCAAAGAATATACCATATATAATTATGTATATTAATATTTGATTTGTAATATAATACATATAAATTTATTAAAAAAGATAGTTCTTATCATTTGGAATGATGTACCATTGCAACATTGCCATTAAATTGAGGTAGTTGATAGAACTTTCTGAGACATAAATGATACTTATAAGTTACTTGGGAAAATTACTATAATATTTGGTGGAGATTTTTAGCAAATTATTCCGATTATTGTTAAAGGCTAACATTAAACTATGTAAGTTAATAAAAAATATGCATTTAGAAGGTGTATTTGATGAAAATCAACTATTTGTTGAGGAACTTTTGAAGATATATATTATATAAGAATGTTATTTTTGAAGTTTTTTTTTATGATATATTATTTATTTTTAATATATCTAATATTTTTTAATTTTTAGATTAAAAGTAGACCAAAAATTATAAATCCATTGAAAAATACTATGATTCTTCTAAAATATATGAAAGTAGATCTAATTTCAAACAATTTGATTCAAGTTGTTTATTTAAGATCATATAATAATAGGATATTTAGAGATGATTATTTCATTGATATATTTATTTTATTCGCTCAATATTATAATATTGATGATTTAAACAAGTATGCTATACAAAGACTTTTTAGAATTTTACATATTTAACTCAATGCAGATATACCAATTATAGAAGATAGTATCAATAATGGTAATTATTATCTAACAAAGTGTCACAAACATACATTTATTGTAATTTTTACCTAAATAATATGAATAGGTAGAAGTAAATAAAAATAAATTGATTTCATAATATCTTCTAAAAAACTTTTTAGAAGCTCCATAGAAAGTACTTCAACTTTACATGTATTTTTAGTTGATTGATAGGTTAAAAACTCGATCAACAAGCTATCCTTGTGCCGTATATATTGATAGGTTGCAAAACAAGCTAATTATGAGGCATCCATATAAAAAAATTACCTTGCAAGTTAAGATAAGTCTCGTGCAAAGTCCTATAAAATGTCATTACATAGCTCCAAGGTAGATAGTATATATAGAAGTAAGAGTAAAGCCTTCTTCACTATTGTCATTTTTTTTCTTGCTTTTAGTTTAGTTTTAAGAGTCTTTACTTTTCTTATCTTTTGGCAATAGCTATTCTAGATTCTTATTAATATATATATATATATTTCTTTATTTCTATTTTGTCATACTTCTTTGAGAAAGTCTCACTTATTTATTTGCTTTCATTAAGTTCTTATTCTTGACAGATTGACAAGTATATACTTATAATATCAATGATTTGTCTTTTTTTGATTAAGAATAGATTTTTATTTTTATTTTTATAAGTCTTAAAGGTATTAGAAGTTATAGATTACCCTCTTCTAAATTGATATCATTTTTAGTATTTTTTTTATTTTCAAGTCTTTTCTTTTGTTTTTTTTTCAGCAATATTAGACATCTCATTTCTTTTAAGTATTATTATGGTGGAATTATCAAAATGAAGAATGAAATGGCACAAATGCAAGAACAATTGAAGGAATTAATGCTTAAGATGCATCAACTTAATTACCAAGATAAAGAAGAATAAAAATGGTAGAAAATCAAGATATAAAGATGATTGAAGCTGTTTCAACATTTGCACCAAATCATGTTCCTTCTTCCATAGTAAAATACCATTCAAGTACCAGAGAACCAAAAATTGCCTTACTTGAGAAATTTGATGGTTTAAAATTAATATTTCAAGGATTTATCAATCAAGTATAATTAAAAATTAAATTTCAATCTCAAAGCTATCTAGGATCATAAGTTAAGTTTATTAGAAACTACTTTCTAATTCAACATTGTCATAGTTTTCATCTTTTTTTGAACAATGTGATCCAATATTGAATATTTTGAAAGCTTTCTTGGCAGAGCTTCAATCAATGTATGAAAAATATGATACAATTTGTGCTGCAATGAACAAATTTCATATTTTACAATAAAAAGATCAATCTATAACATTATATGCTTTACAATTTAGACAACTTGTGATTAATATCAAGTAAGATGATGCTACATTCATTAGCCAATTTCTTTATGGATTACAATATGAGCAAAAAAAATTGATGCTTAGTTTAATTGATCTTCAAACATTAAGTCAAGAAATTGATTTTGTCATTTAGTGGGACAATTGATTTTTTGAATTTTAGTCTGAAAATCACATAAGCAAGCCTCAATGTTATTACAATTCAATGGCAATACCAACGTCTTTTCAATACATGCCTTCAGAAGTGGAGGATATGCAAATTGATGTTGTACATTTCAAATTTCTTATAAAATCAAAAAAGACTTGTTATTGTCAAAAAAGATTATGTTTATATATTGTAGAAAATCAAAGTACACTACTTAACATTCTTTAAAGAAGTGACACAATCATAAAATAAGAAGTACAACTATCAAAGAAGACATATGTCAAAAAATAAGTTTGTCTAATTATAATAGAGACCATATGATTAAAACCTTATACAATACCTAATGAAGGTCATATTCTCTATTTTGAACCCTCTTCTTATTATACAATAGATATTAATTTAAGACCTAAATATCAAAAAGCCTCTGTCTTGCTGGATTTAAGAGCCTCAACTTGTTTTTTAGATGAAAATTGTATTAAAAGATATAACATACTTTTAATAAAGAAAAAAAAATATGTTCATGTAGAAGTCATAGATGGTCATGTGTTGGTCTTTAGAGATATTATTTATAAAATATTTCCTCCAGAAGTAATAACTAATAGTCATCATAACTTTGTGATATTTAATATCATTAAATCTTTTTTAAATCCAATCATTTCAGATTTATGATGGTTAAAAAAATACAATCCTTGAATAGATTAGATTTCTTATAGACTTGATTTTTTTGAAAGTATAATTAAGAATATAATTAATTAAGTAAAAAATCATAAGTCTAATATAATCAAATATGTATTTATAAATGTAAGAGCTTTCTTGCATACTATAAAAGAATGATCATCTTGTGTCATTTATGCCACATATATTTTTAATAGTGAAAAGATTTCAAATTGTATTCTTAGTTAATATTAAAATTTTTAAGATGTATTTAAAAACAAAATGCAGATATTTTTTTAAAATATTAT